GGGGGCCGGCGCTCCGGTCTACTTGGCTGCTGTCATGGAGTACCTGACAGCGGAGATCCTGGAGCTGGCAGGGAACGCAGCACGGGATAACAAGAAGACGCGGATCATCCCCCGGCACCTCCAGCTCGCCGTCCGGAATGACGAAGAGCTCAACAAGCTGCTGGGCGGCGTCACCATTGCGCAGGGCGGTGTTTTGCCCAACATCCAGGCCGTGCTGCTGCCCAAGAAGAGCGAGAGCCACAAGGCCAAGAGCAAGTGAAGCAGTGAAGGAAGCCGTGAGGTTTTTGTTCTCTTCTCTGAAACCCAAAGGCTCTTTTCAGAGCCACCCACGGCTTCAGGAAAAGGGCTGGAGGAGCACAGGACAATGGGAGCCTGCCACTAACGAGCATTCATTCATTAATTGTCAGCCAAGTCTTAAAGCTTCCACTGCAGGAGCTCAAAGAGGGGGTGAACCCTGCAGGTAAAGCACCTTTACCCCAGAAATCACTTAAAAGAACCTTATCAAACAGCCTCCAGAGAAGCAGGGGAGAAAACTCAGCAAAAAAACCCTAAACTCATTAAACAGCCCCCCAAAAAATAAACGGAGAAAACTCAGTAAAAAAAACCCAAGCTCATTAAACAGCCCCAAAAGCAGCAAGGAAGCACACGGTAAAAATAAAATACGGTTGAGAAAGGAGAGCGGCTTCAGGGCTCTGATTTGAACGAGCACAACTTGAGAAATGAGCAAAATAACGCTGATTTCCAATAAAGTTGCCTTTTAGTAGTTCTGTAGCAGGCAAAAAGTGATTTAGAAGAGGTTTGTTACAAGCGAGTGGTGCCTGTGGATATCTGGAAATAGACTTTTATAGAACACAGCACAATTACGGAGGATCCCAGGAAAAAACATCTCCAGAAAGGGCTTAAAATGATTCCAAACGGGCAGCGATGGGGTGGGGGGACCGCAGCCGTTCTTCCACGGCTTCGCCGCCACCGCCGCCCCGGGGCCCCTTCCCCACAGGGAA